GACGGCACGCGGCTGGCGTCGGCGTCGGGCGACGGCACCGTCCGGCTCTGGGACGCGGCGACGGGCGCGCCGCTGCAGACGCTCGAGGGGCACACGCGTACAGTTCACTTCTCCGCGGATGACGTCCTTCTATCAACCGATTTCGGGCAATTTGTAGTGTCTGGAGCCGATTTCTACCAGGATCAGAGTTATGTGCAGCTTAAAACTCTTCCCCACACTCTACAATTACGAGAGGATTGGATCCAGTGCAATGGTAACGACATCCTCTGGTTGCCGCACGACTTTCGCGGAACATGCTCGGCAGTGTATGGGAAGACGCTCGTTATCGGGCAAAGCTCAGGAGCTGTGTCACTCTTCCAAGCACGAGACGACAGCCACGTAGAATTGTGAGTAGAAAACTACTGTGTCTATCGCAATGTATATGAATTATTGAACCTAATACCCGTTCTTATGCCTGCTTCTTTTCAAGAGATGAACTTGTACTCTCTTCTTCTCTTCTGATTTTTCTCTAAAGAGGGTACAGGGTAACTACTATTCTTATACCTGCTAGTTGGCTGAGATAGCTGAGAGATCCTTCTAGAACAAAAAGTCGGCGTGATTTCCAATACAACGCGCAGCTGGTGTGTAAACCACAAGCTGTCGTAGAGAACCACACACGAAGAGGCGCAAAGATGTAGCGCGCTCGCTAACGTCAAACACCAGAGCGCGGTCCACCCCACGGCGTGGTCCACGAATTACGTGTCTACCACCTTTAACACTGATTATCTCAACCAATACTTAATAGATTGCTTTGAGACTTAAATGTGTTATATAACAATACTATTCAATCTACTGTACAGTGTTTGAAGGTGTGAGCAAAGGAACCACACTTGCTACACCGACTAGCACGCTTTGGAGCCCTTGGCATCTGCTCCCTTATTTGTGCTTCAACCTCCTCTTGCTCAACTATCCCTTGGATCTGAGAGGCTGACAGGGCAGGATCTAATGTGATTGCTTTCCTCTTCCTGGATTTGCGTTCATGCATTG